AACGGCTCACAACGATGTCATGGCCCAAAAAAACTCATAGTAAAAACTGGGACGGTTGTTTTTCAAAGCAACAACTCCAGAGGAGATTGAGCAATCCACTCTGTGCGTAGGGAACGGTGGGTACCAGACAGGGGACCCGTGCGCGGCACGGCGGCAGAGTCAGGGGACGAGCGGCAGTGCATGATGTGCGATAGAGAACGTACAGTGGTACATTCCATTTAACTTGACGCGAAATCCCTACAGTGCTCTCGCTACGACTAGTCCACTGGGTGTCTTCTTGCCGCGCAACGGGCCTCCTGTCGGGTACCCGGGTAGGTAGCCCGCGAGTATCACAGTTGTGCTGTTGTCGCGACTAGAAAGTGCGCGACAATGGCGCTAGGGCTTACAAAGTGAGCTGATGACGGCTAATGTGAACTTATGGACGAGATACCTCGCGCACACTCCATGACACGCAACGTGGATTACTGTAACGGGAATTCAATTAATACGCGCAGGTTAGAACCATGGAGCGAGCATTTTCAGATAACTCGTCCGGGCACGCCCCTCCCTCAAATCAGAGGGAAGACGTCAATTCAGCATCCAATTTCATTATCTGACCGCTGCAACCCCACCAATTCGATCTGGGTTGTTGCTTCAAGTGATAAAATCTTGGTACAGAACGGGAGACACGTCCACAAACTCCCATTCCTCCCAAAGATGATGCTCCAGCTCGTGTAGTTTCAACTATGTACAACAGAAAATAGCTGCAGCGTTGTGAGAGGGGTCTGCACACTCAACATCATCTATAACTGACTACTCGAACTCCATACTGCTTATCTACCTCTGACTAGCTGCTACACACTAGCCTACACTAACACTTACCTCTGGAACTGATGAAAGAAATGGTTTGATCGGCAGATGGTCATCAACGGTGAACAAATGGTGATCACCGAATCCTCGCGACACCCCGATTGTGTTCAGAAGACGTCTCTGAATAGGATAAAAATTTCTTGAATCCAAGTTCCCGAGACACTACTTGTTTACATTCCCTTTAGAGAACTTTGATTTTCATGAGAGAACCGCGACCAAATAAATGCGCCTACCTTTCGCGAGCAGTCGCTTATCAACGGGGGTTTCAAGTCGCACTCTTTGACCGTTTTCGCTGCCCAACCGTCCATGAACCAGTCTCTGGAGCAACGGTTTCAGGTTTTACAAACTAGTGTATTCAATATAGTAGCCATACCTGAACAAGACTTTCGTCTTCAAGTCCTTTTTCGACAGTGCTCGAGAGTATTCAAGCCGTGAGAAACAGTTTCCTATCAGTTCGGGATTTTGATAAGCCTGAAAAAGTATGTCAATGCCAGCTGGTATCACTTAGCAGCACAAATTTTGAAAAAGTGGTAATTTGGTCCCTCGACAAATTAAACTTTTAACACGGTGTGCCGATGGTGTGCCTTTTTCACCATCGTGTGAAGGATTCTCCAGCAACAAACATACGCCAACTTACAAGGGTCTGTAGTCGTTTTCGCTCGGTTGCCGGTGTGAAGTCGGAACTGAGCGCTCGTGAGCCTTCGTCCGTCACCAGCACCGCTCGACAATCACCCGCATTGGCTAAAATGCAGAGATGAATGTACCGCGTGATCTGATCGGAACCTCTCATTAAAAAAGTTTCTATGTAGCTTGTTTCACAAACTTACCTACGTACAATTTACCAAGAAATACCAAAACTGCAATGGCGGCACAACCGCCAGTGATTCGCCAAGTTTGTTTGTCCTCAGCAATTTGTGAGTCCTGAAAATTCAATGAACCAAATAATAGTCACTTCCATGTCAATGAGCAATTCAAATTCAGCTTTCAAAAATGATCGTAATATGATCACAAATTATGCAACAGTGAAGCAGCGCCTCTTCTCCAGCAGTAAAGCTGGTCAAACTTCCTGAGATGCGCCACAAACTTCGACTCCAATTCCAAATCGAGGAGTTCCTTGCAGGGCCTCCAGATTAGCGCATGAATATTGAAACAAATGATCAACACCGAGCTTTAAAAAACATTACTCCGATGCATGCGGAAGTGGTGTAGTGGCAAGTGGCACGCTTACCACGCGAGCGGTCCGGGATCAAATCCTGGGTCGTGAGTCGCCCGGGCCAACCAAGCCTTCCATCCCTCCGGGGTCGGTTAATTGGTACCAGACTTGTCTGGGAGGATAAAAACACTGACTTGTACATCGGCTGGCCCCGCAAGTCATTGTATAGGCCACATCGCATTCAAACGCCACTACGAATGTACAAATGGAAGTAGAATGCGTGCCGCATCCCAAAAAGGGATTGATCAACGGCAAATGCTTTATCCTTTATCTTTATCCTTATGATGGGGCTGATCAGGGAAATAAGACCGCTTTGGGAGAGGCGAAATTCATTTTTACAAATCTGTAAGTGACCTCTACCTGCTATGCTGCCTCTGCCAGGAACGGGAGGCTATGATCTTTCCCGAAGCAGTTTGTTCTCTTGCTAGCAGGGGTTTTTGTTGTTTTTAAAGGAGGATTCCATGAAAAGGTCGAAAGGGTCGAAGAAGGAGAAACCTATCCAGCGAAAGAACAACTACGCCCCTCTCCTCTCTTCACCCCCCCCCCCGACGCCCCGAATGCGGGCTGACACGTCAATTCGCCAAGCGCAAGGAATCAACGACTCTAGCATGGCTCTCCCCGCGGCGCTATCGACGCGGCACGCCCACCGACCAGCTCCACCCGCCGCAGTCTCCAGTCGTTCAACAGAAGAGCTCCAGCGTCGAAAAGGGCAACACCGATGAGAGTGGCACTAATGCGGAAAAGCGGGCAAGGAAGGGACTCAGTTCTTGGATCCGGACGCGTTTCTGGTTCTCCTTCATTGTAGTACATGACCGCCTCACCGTGGCGGCTACCTTCTCAGTTGTGAACTTCGCCTGAGGTCTCTAAAATTTAAAATATAGAAAATGGTAAAAGCTAAAATCTAACCGACCATATCTACAAATGCAGCTTCCAAAGCACCTACAACAAGCTCATCACATCGAATTGAGACTGAATCCATCTGCAAAGAGAAAAAATACCATGAAACCTCCTATATCAACTAGACAACTCTACCTTACTGATACTGTAGGATGAGTCCGAACGAGGCCTGCTGGACACGAGGGTTTCGTTTTTATCCAACTGGATAATCGACTCCAGGACTACACCTAATCGCGACTGAAAAATGGAAATTGTGAAAAGTTCTTGAAAAGATAGTCCAAAAGAGAAGAAGATAGATTCGGTTGAAATAAGTTCCTCCAGGAAAAATCGGCTCTTAGGGACATTTCCGGTTTTTGGTATTTGCTAATAGGAAACCGATTCGGGAACACATGAGAGCTAGTTATCTCCTTCCAGCATTCCGCATAGCCCTGCTCGTAGACTATACCTCTGAAGAGGTTCGAAAAAGGATCTGACCTTTATGTGTTCGTGAAGACATCGACTTGCGACAAGTGCAGCTCCTGAGCCAGCATGGCCGTCAAATATTGCGAAGAAATGCGGCTTCGACACGAGTTCCAGATGTGGTGCATGACTGAAAAAAATCACAGAATAATGGAAAATGGTAAAATCTGGACAAACAAAAAGAAAATGTAACCAGAAGGAGGGAAATCATGTGGGAAGAAGTTTATTGGGGTAGGCTCATTTGGGCACATAGTTCAATTGATCACACGGAATATGGAACCCAGAAACCATAGCAGTCCTAGAATGACCTTCCGAAGCCCCTACCTCTCCTCTCGCCAATCGCCTGTTTCCTATACTATTGAGGTGAAAGGGAGTTTGGGTGGGAGGAGGGCACTCCCTATTACTGAGGATAATAATACGTAAAAGGCTCCTTTCAAGTGTTGTTTTGATAAGATGCGATTAGTGTCCTGCATTGCACACGTCCTGTCCATATCCTATCCAAGCTTACCCTCCTTAAAGCAACAGTCCAGGGAGGGTTTCAACTAATCCAAAGCTGAGGTGTGGAAGCATGCCCCAGCCCAAGTGAAGTCGAAAGGAACTGTCACTGAAGTAAAAACTCACCTCTGAAATGCGTGAGAAGGGCTCGAAGTTCGTCGAAAAGGGCGGGTCAACCGAGCCTCGGTTGACCCGCCTCCTTGCTGCTGTGAAGAGCGCTTGCTCGAATAGCGGTCGTTGCGGGACCGCCGCGCTGTATCAGGTCGATTCCATGAGAGCGCAACTTAAAGCGCTTCAATTTCGATTGCTGGCAAATAGTTATGTATTTGCAAGCATGCATGGCTATTTGCCAGCAGTTGCAATTGGAGCGCATGTACTACGGGCAGGTTCGGACAACTCGTCCAACACACGTCTCCCTAAACGGCAGGGGGAGTCCCTGTCTAAGCCCCTGCCCGACGTTTTTTTCTACTTTTTCTTTCTCCATTGACCAACTTCTCACCTGCAACGTCATTATAGGTGGTCCTTACCCGCGAATTCGTTCCTGGATTGTTGCTTTAAGAAGCCAGCGCAAGAAATGCATCCCCTGTTTTTTAAAACCACTCCTAGGATCATTGCAGGCCGAAATATGAAAGCGCTTCGGGAGTACTTTCCACATCTATACCGGTACTTAATCAGAAGCATATTTCGAATGTGTTATTAACGTTATGAGCGCTGTTATTCTTATTTTCAGCATTAGACAGTACAATAGAGGTGTCCTTCTCCTCCTCCCCCCCCCGAACTCCAGCTTCGCCGCATTTCATATCGAGACCAGTCGACACTACAATTTCACCCACAATTTCCTCTCCAAAAGTTCCATCGAGAAAGAACGGGGTTGGGTATGTTGCGACTAAAGTAACGGCGACTGCTGTAATTACACCCAATTTTTGTCCTTTTTGTGAATATTCCGAGAAATAGGTCAAAGGGACCTCCCAAAACGACCCTTTCTCCCTCTCTCCACTGCTCAGGAACATGAATTTTAGGGCAAACAAAGGTGCTTCAAGGCGCAATCTAAGATGACATGGTATGGCTGTTGGAGTTCAAATATGAAACTAGGTGGGTGCGCACCAGCAGTAAAGACAGAAGCAAGGAAACTCTTGAGAACGCGCTGTGAAATCACGGTCCACGGCACAGAAAAGACTGCGTTTCGACTTTAAACTCCGAAGAAAAGGGATGAGAAAAGAAAGTTATGAGAGAGACACAGGTGGTAACATGGCGCCAATGTTCCAAAGACCTGCACATTGTGACGTGAGGGGATGGAAGCCAAAGTAAGTCTTTGCCAACGCAGCTTGGAAAGTGAGACGAAATGGCTGCTTAGCAGCGCCGCAACTATGTACGCCGCCACCTTTGTACCTTCCAATAAGTTTGACACACCGAATATCAGTGAAAACATTTTGTCGCATCGAAGTATTGCGTATTTAAAGCTCAAAATCCACAGATTTGTTGTGAGGCGGCGGCGCTCGCAGAACCGCTCTGGTCCCACGCGGCCAAAAATGCCAAAACGCGCGATGTCGTCAACGTGTTAAGACCATTTTTCCAGATGACAGAGCGAATGTAACCAGATTGTAGGAGAAAAAAATCTTCAAGGCACACAGCGCGAGCGTCCTAGAAGATATCCCTTCGATAGGTAGGACAGAGCTGTCCACTAAATTCGCAGAAGACCCGTTGCCCAGTGGCAACATTCGAGTACCTACGCCACCTCACTCATAGCGCTCTCTCACGCATACCCTCTCGTCTGCCCAGTGTCTCCACCTCCTCTACACAGCCAATCAGCGAAAATAAGGAAGCCCTCAATTGCAGCGTTTCGATTTATTCTTTTCTCGTTTTCTTTGTTGCTGGCCCACTCCGCACCGATGCCTCCATTTTCGTGGGCTGCAAAAACTGCAATATCTTAGGGCGTCCCTTCAATTCGGCATATAGTTTAGAATACTAAACCAGCAGTCCGATCAAATACAGTACTCACCGTGCTACCACCACTCGGAGACACAAGTTCGTCGTCATCATTTGAGGAAGCTTTGACGACTGTTGACCTATAACTACTGATATTTAACAAAGTTCGAAAGCGTAAAAAAATTTAATGGCACTACTGCGCTCACTAGTACATCCACAACGCTCAGAAAAAATTTCACTGAAACCCCACTCTGGATAGAAGCCATTTGACGCCCTGATTAGGAGTATGAAATTCATTTTTGGTACTGGCGCCTTTCCGCGCCTATTTGGTACAACATCTATTTTCAACAATTGATTTACTTGTTGGGTTATTTAGTGCTCCGATAGCGGATCCGACATCCTGAAGTCGATCCCCATTTTGCGCGGAGTATAATGCAGATTCGCGCTGCCGTACACGCAAGGCTTGCGCCCAAATGCCGACGCAAAATGGATGTCATATTTGTAAGGGCACTAAGCGAATCCCACAAGAGGTTCAGGAATTGCTCTTGGCCCGCTTCTCCCTGGGTTGTACTGATGCTAGGCGCCTGCGGATTTACTAGCTGCAACTGGGGTGAAACTTTGGAATAAGAAACTGTGAGCCCATAAACCACTGCCTTGAGCTAACTCGAGTAAAATTGTAGTTCGAAAATTATTCATGATAGTTATTACGGAACTTTATCTTACAGAGAAAACGGTGAAAACGTACGGTGTTTGGCAGTGTTCAAGTTCCTTTGCTTCTTCAGCATCATGTCCCTGCTGGACCAGCGTCAAACATCCTCGCTGATGCTTGATCCTCATTTTGGACTGTTTTACCTGAGCAATAGCATACAGTTCGAGAGACTTCCACTAATAACTTGGAAAACTACAATAGTAATTCATTGGTACCTGCATTGATAACCTCTGCGTAGCCAGCGTATAGAGGCATTTTTGAGGGGTATTTTGGACAGAGAACAGGACGAACGCACTGATCAGCTGACAACATAATCTCGTCTTCAGAAAAGTAAAGGAACTCTGGCCGTGAATATGGATAGAGCTGTTCTCCACTTAGGCGTGAAAGTCCTAGCGAGATTAATCTGCCGACGATATATTCGAGTTTTCTTTTGATTGCCTACATTTCTTGAAGCTCTTTGGCTGAAAATCTTCGAAAGATAACTTCCCATCCGAATGGTAAACAGGGCAACAGTGCAGGAAATCGCTCAAAGGCAAGAATCAGGATTAAATCGATGGGTTGATTCCACTCAAATGTGAAAGTAAGGGATGCGAGTGGACCGCCAGATGGAGAGAAAGGAAAGGAAAGAAAATGCTGAAATGCACAGGAAATACGAGTTTTGCTTCATGGTATGGAGAAGCTTCAATGGCAGGCTGGAAGATCGAAGATAATGATGAGGAGTCAGAGCCAGCTTAGATAGAAGCAGGACGAGGCATTAGTCAGATCAACGCACGACGCACACACCATCGAACAGTGGGCGACCATGCTTAATTTGGTGAATCGTAGAGTCCGTGGACGCTAGGGTTTAGTAACGCGTTTCAATTGTGAAAGGTGCACTTGCTTACCGCAGCACCTCCAGCCATGTAAATGCTTCTTTAGGTGGAATCTGAGCCCGAACTTTGCCTTTTAACTATGAAAGTGGGTAAGATGAAATTATTATAACAAGGAAATCACAGATCTGATCTGAATCTCGAGAACTGGTGTGCAAAGAGGGATTCACGGGTAATCGTGACTTTGACATTTTTTGAAGCTGATTTCTTCTGTGAAAGTAACCCTACACAGAGTTTGCTCCGGTATAAATCTCTTCTTATGTTGGTATGAAGATCTTTTGCTTGATTGTTTTATGAATCTCCTATCCTCTCCTCCAGATGCTGTAGGCCACTTAACGCGAGAAAAAGGCCAGAACATTATTTATATGGTCATGAAATACGATATCCGACAAGAAAAATCTGATGAGCCTTCCCGTGTGATTCTACGCAGAAATCTCCAGTCAATTCAAAACTAGCCTTTAAAATATGTTTAGAGGAACTCGCCACCCTCATCTTTCAAAAGTTAAGAATCCATTTCGTCGCTGGCCTTTAAATTGCGTCTCGCTATGCCATATGGCCTACAGTGCCAATTCTTGGCTCGGTTTCGCGATTTGCGCGATTGATCGCGATTTTCGCGATTTGCGCGATTTTCGCGATTTGCGCGATTTTCGCGATTTGCGCGATTTTTGCGATTTTCGCGAAACCTGCGATGGATCACAGGAGTTGGAAGTGCCCGATGAATACTGCGAGGTGTTGTTTAATCCTGCTGCGAATTCTGCTTGGCAGTAAAGATTGGAAGACGAATGTTTGTGGTTCTACTTGTTTCATGTTCAATGTCTATTAGTTCATTGAAATGCTCTTGAATCGTTCCTTTTTTTTCAGGAATCAAACCAAACCAATCACAAAAATTGCAAGTGCCCCATTTGAACAATTGAAACACTGGATATGAAACAAGTGGAATCATGAGCAGTCTCCATTAAACCATAACCATCAAGCAGAAGTGACGGCGGGATTGGAGAACACCTTGCAGTATGGATGGGGCACTTGTAATTTCCGTGACCCGTCGCGCAAATCGCGCAAATCGCGAAAATCGCGAAAAATCGCGAAAATCGAATCGCGGACTCTGACACCAGCCTTAGGTGCGAACCCGTATAATGTATGCTATACGCTTTCATTAACCTACTCCACACGCGATATGAGGCTCGATAAATCTTTGCGTCTGTCGATACGTGTCGACCGACTTCATTTCCTACTTTTGCCAGTTGTTCGGTCCGTCTCAGTGTCTCGTTGGCCACCCGTGAACATAGCTGAGACCACCCGCGACGCAATGTCCATACCTGGAAGATATTCATTCAAATTTTACGAAATCAAAATAGCTCTCAAGATCCACGGGTAGATTTCAACCAAGCACGATGCACATGTGGAATACACATCAACGAGCAAACATTCTGCTGCACAATCCCCGGCCTGTCGGTCGTAAACTAGATGTGACCCAAGCACTGAAAAGAGATGTCCATCCGAGGTTTAATTACTCTCCTTTCATTGGAACTAACACTGCCTGCATCTTCTAACGCTAGTAGTGCGGGCGAGTCGCAGCCACCGCAGCGAGGCACTTCCCATTTCGAGGAGAGAACGCTACGCTTACGATAAAGAAATCTGAATTTCAGTAACAAAAAAGAACCTGAATTAAATTATGGTCATAAATACTATAACAAATGCATAGTTCGAACATAATGTGACATAAATGACATAGTCAATGAGACATAAATGCATAGTCATAGTTTGAACAGGAGCTCTGATTTTCTATGAAAGACAGCACAAGCAGGAAAATATTGTAAATACCCATTATATGACCTATGGATAAAGGATAAGTATGAAGTACGGCACCTTGTCACACAGTCGTCCAGGCGATGGCTGTGGTGCTACAGTGAAAGGGTGTACTCGAGTTGAATGGCCCTCTTTTCACGCACAATTTGTCTTTGTAAACGGATTGGGATACCGCAGGCTTCATTTTTTCATTGATTTTCTGACACGGATTATTATCAAAGCCTTTTTATGTATGTAGGGATGAACGGAAATTTCTTGATGGCGCTTTAATTAATGGTTTTTCAACATAGATAATAGATAATTCAGGTTGTAGACGAGATTGTTAAAAAGTTTATTCGGCCGACGTTTCGGCGTTATCTTTTCTTCGGAGCCTGGAGGACAGAAGACATCTGAGAAACTACCCTGCCAAACACTATCTCAACCAGGGTGAATATCGCTTGAGGATTCCTCAACGGCACGTCGAGGATTTTCGCCTGATCAGTTACGTTCTCCCGCGCGGACATTCACACTCGCCATGCGCGAGCCGTCTGTGCTCTCCGCGCGTACGTTCACTCTCGGCACTCTCGCACAGTACAGAGCCATGGTCGAGGAATTCCTCGACCGTTATTCACCCTGATCTCAACCTGCAAAGTCACTCAACAGGATCGTAGGCTACTAAGGCGATGCCAGGCGATGTCGTAGACGCATAAAGACAACCTTTAGGAAAAAGCTTTTCAAACTTTCGTTTAATATTTTCAGCGATCTCAAAGTCGATCTCAAAAGCTCACAATCTCCCGCACAATTTGCTATATAGTACCCTGTCCTGCCCTGTTGCTCCAGTATGGAGCTTACACGTACGCAAAAAGCAAGATCTTCCTCCGATGATTTTGTCGGCCGATTTTCCGCTGTCGGCCAGACCTTTGTTTGTGACTCAAAACTTTGTGTCTGATCGACAACCGGCAAATCTTCCTTGAATCGTTCTGGCTGGATCAGGCTTCAGCCCATGTTCAGTGATTGGATAAACAGCTTGAGCAGCATTCGGGCATGAAGTCTTCCACTCATGCAACGAGAAAACCGCTTTCGCTCTGTACACAGTAAAAGGAAAGATGTAGCGAAGAGGTTAGAAAGCAGCAAAAATAAAAAGGATAAAGCATTTGCCGTTGATCAATCCCTTTTTGGGATGCGGCACGCATTCTACTTCCATTTGTACATTCGTAGTGGCGTTTGAATGCGATGTGGCCTATACAATGACTTGCGGGGCCAGCCGATGTACAAGTCAGTGTTTTTATCCTCCCAGACAAGTCTGGTACCAATTAACCGACCCCGGAGGGATGGAAGGCTTGGTTGGCCCGGGCGACTCACGACCCAGGATTTGATCCCCGGACCGCTCGCGTGGTAAGCGCGCCACTTGCCACTACACCACTTCCGCCCTGCAGCAGAAATACACATTAAAAATCAGCTCTGTAATTCAGAACACTTCAACGCTGCCACAATCCACGGTCGCTCAGTTACGAACGTGCTCGTGTCAGAATTTCAGATGAAACGTCTTGGTGATCAGCATGTTGGGCGATGTGATAGCTTGATCTGAATCTACTAGACAGTGTAAAGTGTGTTGCGCTTGTCAAGCCAATATGGTATAGCTCGCGACGGGACAGGCGAGGGAACAAGGAGACGAACGAGACGCAGACACTATCGCACAATTTGATTCACTCTAGATCAAAAATAGTGCTAAGGCCCCGTTCATAGATTGCGATTATTGCAATTTGGCGATTACGCTTATAGGAAAACATACGTATTGATCTAAAAATTCGGCGATTATGCGATAAAGCGATTTGGCGAAACTCAAAGATATGTGCACATTGAACGATTTGACCCCGCCCAATTAACCATTCGTCGATGCGATATGTCGACGATCCTTCAGTCGATACGCATACATTCCTTTCAACATAATCGCTAAATCGCTAAATCGTATTAATCGCGATCTATGAACGGGGCCTAATGGTGAATACAGTAAACAGCGCGGGACCCCTAGAGTTTCTGAAACCGTGAACACAACTCTGCAAGGGCAGATCAATCGACGTAGGAAGGAGATTTTCGTCCTGAATCATGTATTTGAATTACTGTTTCCAAAAATAACCTAGAAGCTGCAAGGGTGGCTACTCGCTAGTAAAGTTTAAGTGCGACAGAAAAAATTCAATAGGCGAGTCATCAAATTTCGGCCATGAACGTGTCGCTTAGCGTTCTCGAGAGATGTTTGTTCCGGTTTCTGCTGCATATCGATCGTGGTTTTTCTCTCGCGCCCACCTGAAGAACGCAAGAGGTTGCTGAACATCTCAAACTCAACAAAAGTCAACGCGCTCCAAATAGCACATCACTATGAACGTCAGAGAGGGAGGAAGACAATGGACTAGTCCATAACAGAGAA